TGAGACAGGATCTCACTATGCACTTCAGGCTGGACTTGAGCTTGCTTTGTAGCCCAGGCTAGACTCAAATTCACAATGATCCTCCTGTGTTAGTCTCCTGAGTGCTGGGATTATAGGCATAAGCCACTGCATCTGGTTTAGAACCAACTCTTGATTCACTGATTCTTTGTATTTTTTACTGCTCTCAACATTATGATTCTGTTTCTCATACTAACTTTGGGTTTGGATTGTTCTTCTTTTTGGGATCTTGAGATGCATTATAAGGTTATTTACTTGTAGTTTCTCTGATGTGGGAATTCAGTGCTATAAACTTCACTTTTAGGATAGCTTTCATTATGTCCTGTAAGTTCTGCTATGTTGTACTATATTGCTTTGATAGTAGGAAGCAATTTCTTCATCTGGGACCCACTGATTATTCAAGCGAGTATTATTTAATTTCCATGTGTTCCAAAGTAGTTGTACTGTGATTGCATCATGAATGCAAGAGTACGGTTGCCTCTTTGTATATATAAATTCTATATATGCATATTCAGTGAAATGCTGACCAAAAATGTTTGGAAGGACAGACTACGAGTATACCTCAGTGGTCAGTGCTAAGATCTTGCCCAGCACGCAGAGGCTATAGCCTCAAATCTCTGTTATTAAATATAATGAACTAGAAAAGAAATCATGTCTGTGATGAACATGTAAAAAGTTTTTCCTTGTTATTATTCCCTAAATAGTATATAGTACAATACTTTCTTACACAGAATTTATATGTGTTAGGTCTTACAAATAATCTACAGAATATTTAATGCACATTGGTGGATATACATGATTACGTGCAAGCAATTCACCACTTTATGTAAGGTACTTGAGAATCTATACATTTTGGTGTTCTTGGGAGAATCCTGGATATTGAGGGACAACTGCTTTTGATTTTTGAAAATCATTGTTAGTATTTAATTATCTGACCTTTTGAGTGGCTGTGAAATGGTTCTTCATTTATGGTTTTGATTTGCATTTTCCTGTTGACTAAGCATCTTTTTTTTTTTTTTTTGTCTTTTTCATTTTTTTATCCATACCAGGGATCGAACTCACGACCACCTGCTTGCAAGGCAGGCACTTATGCCCCTGAGCTAAATCCCCAGCCCCAGACTAAGCATCTTTTCATATGTTTATTGGCTGTTTCTGTGTTTCCCTTGTGGAAATATCTCTTTTGATCCTTTGCCCATTTTAAAATTGAATTACTTTTGTTTTTATTATTAAGTTATAAGAATTCATTATTTATTTTAAATAGAGTCCATTGCCAGATATATGATTTACAAATATTTTCTCCATTGTGTGGGTTGGTCTTTCAATTTTTTGATGCTATCATTTGGAGTACAAAAGAATTGTAAACTGGGCATGATGGCACATGTCTATAGCACTGGGGAGGCTGAGATGGGACAATTGCTCTGAGTCCAATGCCAGTCAAGACTACACAGAAAGATCATGTCTCAAAAAATCAAAACCAATCAACCAAAAAAATAGTATCCCTACAGGATTGTAAATTTGATGAAATTCAATTAGTCTATTTTCTTCTTGTTCCTAATATTGGTGTCATATCTAAGAACTCTTCACCAATTCCATGAAAATGTACTCTTTATTGTCTTCAGTCTTATAGTTTTTTTGCTTATATTTAGGTTTGTGATTCATTTTGAGTTAATTTTTGTTTCCGTTCCAAGGAAAGGATATTCTATTTGCCTCTTTTTCATTCTCCAGTGAGGGAGAGATCCACAAAATATTATGAGATGGCTAGTCACCTGATACCTGATACCACATTGATGAAATCAAATAGAAATTTGCTACCATTCATATTAGGGGAGAGACCTAGATGAGGACACAGCGTGCCATGTAGGGTCACACATGGTTGTACTTGGTAATAGAACAGACATGGATGTGTCATTTTTCATAATGACAGAAGGCCGGAGTGACCACTGGTTCCTGTGATTGTGAATTTCATGAACTGGCAGGGAGGTAAAAGCTATCAGGCAAGGACTGGGTGGGATGCAGCTGGCCCAGTGGGGGAACTACCTAGGTGGGAAGTTTTCCTTGCTGTGTGAGAGAAGATATCTAGCTAGAGCAAGAGGTCTCATGGTTAGTATTTTGGGACCTCATTGGTTTTAAAATTGTCAGGGCAGCGCTTTACAATCCAAAGGGTCCAGCTTCATTCTTTTGCATGTGCACATCTGGGTCGCACCCTCCTTCAATGAATGATCTTAGAACCATTGTGGAAAAATCAGCTAACCCAAGAGGATGTAAGTTTATCTCTTGATCCTTAATTTTACTCCACTAATCTGAATGTGTATCAGACTGTGTTGATTTACATTGCTGTGCAATAACTTGGAGATTGGGATGTGTAATTTCTTCTACATGTCCTTAAGTTTTAGAATTTTTTCCTAAATGCTCCATAATTTTTTGAGGGGATGTTGGGATCTTATAAGTGTGGCTATATTAATGTAAAAGAACATAATTACCATAGATTAACAGTTTGCTTTTATCTTATAAATGTTTATAGAGTGCAGCCATTTTAAAAAGGAGGTACACAAAATAGTAGAGGAGAACCCTTTTATAAAACAAAGTCAGCTCTTAGTGATAGTGAAGTGAAGTTCAAGCAATGTAACCACTTGTCTCCCTTTTCATTCTTTTTGTGCTAGGAATAGGACTCTGCTTGCCAACCAGGTACTTATGCTTCTGAACTGTATCCCCAGTCCTCATCTCTTTTTATATTGATTCACTTTCTTAGATGATATAATAATTAATTATATTCATTGAATATATCTAGACACAGGTAGGATTTTTTGTACCTTGTGGTGACTTGAATCAGATCATGATATATAAGCAGAAGGGATAGTAGTCACTATTAGGTAAAAACTACAAAAGCCAGTGCCTGCATGGAACTTGATAAGAGCAAACTTTCCTTAGCTAGGATTTCTCAGTGGGGATGATAAAGGGCAGAGTCCACACCTTCTCCACCCACATTTACTCAGAGTGGATGTGCTGTGTGATTGAGAAGTAAACCACTGTGGTTATGAGACATTAATTATTCCAGTGTTACCAAATTTTTATCAAAGAATAATCAAATGTAGCCTAGAAAATTGATTTCAAAAGTAGGGTTGTCACAACATAGAAAGCTAAACTTTGTCATTGCCTTAGGAATTTGAAGATACATTGGGAAAAATGCTCATTGGTACTGAAAGAATGACAATCTGTATATGGTGATAAAACTCTTGGGAAAAGTCTTGCATGCAATAATTTAGAAGGAGAATCATGAATCAGAGGCAAATCCTATGGAAGAGATTTTAGGCGAAGTGTTAGAAATGCAAGACAAGTCCTATTGATTTCATTTCACAAGGTATTACAAGATAGAGACAAGCTCAGGGAAGAACTGTCTGCTTACAAGCAAGGATTAAAGTGAATAGATAGTCTAAGAACTCAGATACTTGCAGTAGTGGACAAAGTGACTGCTTCACAGTGCCACCTAGTAGACACCAAATGAAAAGACCATTATCATTCAGCCATATGATAAGTATCAAAACAAGTGTTTGTTCATTATAGCCATTGTTAAAACATGGATGCCTTAAGGGAGCACTCAGTAAATCCTTTAAGTGGAATAACATGGTTCAGTAAGAAGAGATTAAAGTAGTTATCCTCTATCTTTGATAAGCTCATAGAATTCATGATTATATTGCAGAAGGGTGTGGCATAGTAACAAGAAAGTGGAACAAAGAAAAACATATGTAAATTAAAGCATGTCTAGAAGTGAGCTATGGTTAAGGCTGTTGTCATGTGGGAATAATTGTAATCAAACACATAAAAATTGTGATGTCTGTAAGAATGGGGCACTAATAAACCATGAGGCTGGGTAAAAAGCTTTTGTAACAATGTTATGGTTTGTAGTTAGATGTCCTTCTAGAGTCTGATGCAAGTACTGGGGGCAGGCTTTTTGGAGGTTGCTGAATCTAAAGTGTGCAACGCTGGCATTAAGGTGGGTGATTGCTGGGTCAGCACCACCGGAAGCCCAGCAGCCTGGACAAGATAAAAAGGGCAGCAAAAGTCTTGTTTGCCCCTCCCTCTCTCTTTCCTTGCTTGCTTTTGCTGTCTGCTGCCACCATGAACTGTTACTCTCTGCCATGTGCCACCCTACCTTGTCAGCGGATTATGGACCGAAAGCTTTGTAGACTGCGAGCTAAATAAATCTTTTTATCTTCACTTGTAGGTGTTGGGTTTTTTGCTTTCAATGATAAAAGTAACTAAGTGAAACAGTTTGAGTCTTAAAATAATGCCATTTATGCTCAGAAGAAAGCAACTGAGTCTCCAAGGATGGTATATATCCTGGGTGCTAACTTTGTGTACAGAAGGGAAAGGAAGACTGTCTCAGGATTGTGTAAAAAGATTGTCTTAGTTACTTTTTACTCGTTGCTGAGACAAAATACCTGAAGCCCAAAGTTGGGAAAGGAAAGGTTTATTTCTAACAGCTTTTGGAGGTTTCAGTCCACACTCAGTTGGCTCCAAGACAGGTGGGCATGGCTGGACTGCAGTTCATGGCAGCTGCCCACAGCAAACTTGAACCAGCAAAGAGAAAAACACACCTTCTTCCTGCCATTACATCACATCCTGGCTCCACCCCTATGTGGGTGGAGCACTGACACCATCAATCCAAGCACTATACAATGAACCATCACATATGAACAATGCAAACTCATGAGGCTTGGGGGACATAAACATAAACCATGACAAAGATGAATGCTATTTTCAAGAAGTAAAATCAAAGCTCAATTAATAATCTGTTTTTTTAAGCTCATATATGAGATTTTTGCAATTTTGCCCCGAAGATCTTGCAACTTTTAGAGGTCACAGTTTTCTTAAAACAATCCTCCCATTTTTCACTTTCTCAAGCACTTACATGAGTAATCCTGCCCTGCTGCATTTTATTGATTGGTTTTGTGGGATAGATAATTTGCCTTTGTATTTTCTAGACCCCCTAGATCTGATCACATCACCCAGAGATCCTGAACTCTGAGCCTCACCCATCACTTTTGGACCTTCCTTGTGGTAAGGCAGTATGTTTGCTGTGAAAGAACAATGTGCAGAGGATTTGGGAAAATGTAGGGTGTATCATTATTGTTGGTCTACAAATCTTTTTGTTCACTTCTTTTGATATATGATAGGATGACATTTTCTTGTATCATTGATGATAGGTGGTACCATGTGCTTTGCTTTAGTTAGTAAAATATTAATAGTAATATGTCATTTCTGGGTGAAGTTTCAAGAACTAGTGTGTAGCTTACTACTTTCTTTGCTACTTGGCTCAGAAGTTAAGATGGAGCTCATTTCCCTGGGGCTCTGTGAAACCACAGCCTCAGGTGACTTGCGAGAAACTGCAGTGACAAGAATGCTATTACTACACGACAATATCACCTATCTTTACTGATAAAATCATCTTTGGTTTACAACACTTGGAAACTCTCTTTTTGAAATTCTGAACATATTAATAATTTGATCTCGTCTTTTCTACCAGCATATCTGTACCTCAAAAATATAGTAGATAATTTAGGCACAAAGTAGCACTGATTTGAACCTCTGGGCTATAGCTTTTGAGGTATTATCTTTGCATCATTAGCTGGGTGTAAGTTTTTCTGTTTTGGCTGAGTCCAGCATAAACAAGAAGCTCTGAAATTTAAAACTATGCCTGAAAATTGGAAACAGTTTGACTCCTAAGTTTAGAAGGACGTGAATTAGTAACAATTGAAGCTAATTTTCCAGAAGTAGATTCAGTGAATCTGAGGATCAGTTATCTTCACGTGAACTAAAAAGAGCCACCCATGTTATAGTTACTTTGTTTTTATTATTTTAATATTTAATGAGATTTAAATTAAAATGTATATGATCACATAAGTAATTTACATTACTAAATTCTTTAGTAATTACTGAGCTAATATTTATATTTGATTATTTGTGTAGAATAAAAATTTGCTATACTTACTATGTAAATTAGTCCAGAGCAATTTGTTTGTTACTTTTAGCTATAAACAGAGATGACAAACTCAAGCTGATTTGGGAAATTATTTAATCAGTGAGAGAGAAAATATGTGCAAGTAAAACTGAAATGTCACACTGTACAAACCAATTTCAGATTGAAATAATATAAATTCTGCATACAATTTGACTTTCCTGTAAACATTAACAATGCAAGTCATAGTCACATCTTTATTTATGTCACACTATGCTATTATTTTTCAATAATATGTTGATATGAGTTTCAAATAATGAGTCTCTGTGTGTAAAACTGTACCAGAAAGAAACCTGGAAGAAAAATCCACCAGTTTACATTTCTTTAAATTTAATAAAATTTAAATTATTGTTAAAAATGCATGTTTACATTTTGTATATGAATTTTATATTTAAACTACATACACAAAAAATAAAAGTTAGCTTTTACATGTTCATCACCATTTTCTGGGCCTGTGCTAAGTGCTTTATTTTTATATTCATAATTTTTTTTTGAGACAGGGTCTCTCATCATATAAATTAGGCTTCCCTTGAATTCACTGTGTAGTTCATGTTGACCTCGAAGTTGTAGCAATTCTCCTGTCTCAGCTTCTCAAGTGCTAGGATTTCAGGCCTCAGTCACCATTCTTGGTAGATAAATATTAAATGTATTTTTATGCTGGCAAAAAGTCAAGGAGAGAAGGGAAAAGGATAAAGAGTGGAAATCAGACTTCTTTTGGAGAGAGAGACTTGTTATATATTCAGTCTGGCCTCGAGCTCTCTTGGTAGCTCAGGTTGGCCTCCAACCCATGGCAATCCTCCTTCCTCAATCTCCTGGATGCTGAGATTACAGGTGTGTGCCACCACTCCTGGATGGGAATCATGCTCTTTTGTAGGTGATGGGAAATAAGAGTTCGGTTAACAAATGGAAATAATCTTATTAGGAACATAGAAAATGCATTCATAATAGTAAACAAGATATGCACACAAAATGATGCATGTAGTTATTTATGTATCATGATGAGAGTTTATAGATATTCTCTTTTGATTTATTCCTATGTTTCCCAAAGAAATAAGGAACAGTGTCATCTGGGTCTGGTGGAAATTGGTGATGGTGATAGAGGGTAGAGAAACAAGAAAACCAAAGTATTAGTCTAGGAAAGCGGGAAATAGAATACACTAGAAGGAAGAAAGTACAGTTGCTGAACATTTAAGCACCTTCTTGAGGTTAGTGGTTATAAATTTAAAGCAATTAACCAGTTGTAATGGCAGTGGGGTATGTGGGTGTCTTTATATATGGAATGATTCAGGCATAGAACAGGAGAGATAGTATATAAATAAATGGGAAGCAAGGAGACGACAGCACATTAAAAGACTGGATAGAAGTATTCAATGGTGTACTTAATCTAGACAAGTCAGAAAGTGAAGATTTGAGTTGGAAAAGAGCTAGTGAAAGGTGATAAGGATTGCCATGGGATCACAGAATTGTTAAGAGTCAAAAAATTGGGAGGCATCAGCTGGAGAGATGAAAACATCAGGTAAGCGAGTGAAATGTCTGAAATGGAAATTATGGGCACTGCAGGTAACAGTGAGAAGTGTGTGACGATGGGAAGTGACTGTCTGAGGCAAGGTGGGGGACAAGACTATTGGAAGAGAGGTGACCAACAACCGGGAGCACAGAATATTAGGGAAGTCACCTACATGGGCACCAAGATCACCCATGACATAGTGGGGTTAGAGACAGTGCTGGGCGTGACTCAATAGCTCAAAGCTCCAAGACATTGAGAGAACTGGTGCGGAAGTCAGCAGATGCCTGTGACAAGGAGATACAGCCTGATGGAAATGAGGTTAAGTTTCTGTCTTTATTTCCTTATTTTTTTATTTTTTATTTTTATATTTATTTATTTACTTATCTATGTATTTTTTGGTTCAGGGATCGAACTTGTGACCTTGTGCTTGCCAGGCAGATGCTGTGCCATTGAGTTATATCCCTGGCTTTCTTTCCTCTTTTTTTTTTTTAATTTTAAAGAGGGTAAAATTAAACCCAACAAAACAGAGCAAAACAGAACATAAGAAAGCAATGTAAGAGACATAAATTTCAAAGCAAGACAATCAGAGATCTTCACTAACTATTGTATCGTCTCTTGTTTTCTTCCAAATAGTTGTCCATATCTTCACATACAGAGAATTCACATGAAACAAAATAGCAACTGATCTGAAGAAGATGAGGAAGGCATTTTAGGTCTTCAAGATCAGACAATAGGAAAGTCAGCAATAGCTCTCAGAGTGTCTCTCATTCTCTTCAAAATAGCTGCCCATACCTTCATGTATGTTGAAATTAAACAAAACAAAACAGGCTATAATCACTGTGAACAAAGAATAATAGTATTCCTGGATTTTACATCATGACGCTATGGAATTAGCACTGCGTACTGTAGTCTCTCTTTTTCTTTAAAGTAGTTGTTCACTGGGGGCTGGGGATTTAGCTCAGCGGCATAAGCACCTGCCTTGAAAGCAGGCAGTCGTGAGTTCGATCCCCAGTACCGATAAAAAGGAAAAAGACCAAAAAAAAAAAAAAAAACCCAAACAAAAAAACAAATAAAAAAAACAAAAAAACAAAAGTAGTTGTTCATTTTATCATGCATAACATGATCAGTTCACATAAACTGCTTATAGGTTCTACGCATGCATGAGTCCCTACATGTATTTCTATCCTTTATGTATTAGAGGGAAAAATGAAACAAAGCAAGTCAAAACAAAACAAATTCATAGAAAAACATGAAATGAAAAATCATATAAAACTACAGTACAAGGTGATCTACAATGATTACTATGTTGTCTCTTGTTATCTTCAATAGAATTGTCTGTATCATCAGGCATAGTATAATTGAACATAGCAGTACATAGCAATATTAATAAAAGCAAAACATTGTAGACAGTGTAGAACTTTAAAAGCAGGTAACAATCAAACCAGAATGGGTATCCTAGTGATCTTTGTTATTTTCAGTGTAGTTGCCTATACTCTCCGACTTGATACTATCAATCATAACAGATTTGAATAAAATATGTCAATACAAAACAGCAATATAACAAACCAGATTCAACTAAGATCAGTCATGATAAAACAGTGTAAGTTATACAGGGCTTCAGATTAAGTTAGTAGGAAATTAAGGATATTTACTGTACTATATCTGCTATTTTGGGGATAGCTGTCTGTGTCCTCAAATCTAGTACAAGTAGACAAACTGAAACGGAATATAATCCATTTTAAACAGAGCAGTGTGAGTAGTGTGGGTTTTAAGTCCTGATACACTATTAATAATGTCCTCTCCTTTCTTTTTTTAGACTTTTCCTCCCCTTTCACTCCCACAGGGTGCACTGCACATTTTGGGTTCCACCAGCCCCCTCAGTTTTTACATTGGGGGGCAACCTGCTAAGTGGTTGTGAATCTTCTCACTCCTGGATATAATCTCAATTTGTATTCCTTTACCTACAAAAGCCTCAAGGTTTTCCTTTGTTATAGCTAAGTAGTTCTCTATCACACAGAAGTATCCTGTCTTTCTAAGCTATCTGCAGGTATCGGTTAAGTTGCCCCTATTTCTCTCTGGTTCCCTATCACATAGAGCATTGTTTTTTTCATATTTGATTTTTGATCCATAAACCCTTTTTCAGGTTAATTATATTTTCTATACAGAGCATCTCGGTGGACCCTACCTCCTGATCTACTCTGCCTTTGTTCTTTTTGTTAGTGTATCAAGCCCACCTATGTTAGAGATTTTAGCCAACATTTTCTGCTTCATTTCTGCCATGCTATTTTTCTGTCATTGGTTGTCTACTTTTCTCCTTCATTCCACTGTCTGCCCCATTCAATGAGGCCTCTCTGCTAATATTCCTGATATCCTGGTATTTTTTTTTTCTCTCTCTCTCTCAAATGTCCTTCAGTACTCTCTGCAGGGTTGGATTGGTGGTCACGAATTCCCCCAGTTCCTCTTTGTCATGGAAGAATCTTGTTTCTCCATTAATTTCTAGAGACAGTTTTGTAGGGTACATCAATCTGGGTTCAAGGTTATTTTCTTTTAGGGCTTAGAATATTTCGCTTCAAGCTCTTCTTGATTTGATGGTCTCTGTCTAGAAGTCTGCCATGGTTTTGATGGGTTTTCCTTTATAGGTGATCTGTTTCTTTTCTCTGATAGCTTTTAATATTCTGTTCTTATATTAAATTTCTGGGATCTTGAGTATTATATGTCTAGGTGTAGATCTATTTTGGCCTTGTCGACCTCCAACTTCCGTGAGACTGCGGCTCTGGCCAGTTGCAGCAGCCTGAGTTCTGGTGTCTCTGGCAAGTTGCTGCAGCGTGAGTTTGGGCAGCTCCAGCAAGAATACTGTGGCTACAAATCTTAGCTGCTCCAATGGTAGACCCAGGACTGCATGTTTGACCAGCTCTTTTCCCTTTAGTTTTTCTCTGGGTTGAGAAAGTCCAGCTCCCTCTGTCTGGACCTCTCCAAAATGTTTTATTTCCGCAACTGAGTTGTCTTTGTTAGGGAGCCTCTGTATGCTGCTGCCTACTGATCTGTCATCTTTGTGAGAGTCTTTTCTTTTCTCTTTTAAACGAAGAATCAGAGAATGAGCTGGAAGGAACAGATGAAGAACAAGATGAACAAGCCACGAGTAGAATTGTTGTTTGGAATTGCTTTACAAACTAGTTTTGGTTCAGAAATAGCTCATCTGAATTTATTGTGGATGACAAACACTTGAAAAACCTTGAAATATAAGCTTACAAAGAGCAGAGATTTCCTTTTTTTCTTCGCCTCTTCCATTTCCTGTTGCCCCTCCTTTATTTTGCAAATTTGTGTTCATTGTTACAATTCCTACTACAATGCTTGGTACATAATAGGTGTTGAATAAATGGTTGTTGAACTGTTAAATAAATAAATAAATAAATAAATAAATAAAGAGTGACCAAGAAACCTTGTGGCTGTGGATTTTTGAAATTCACATCTCTTTTAGTGGTGGTTATAGAGTTAACCACTGAAAAACACTAAGAAACCTGTATTTCATCAACTGATAAAATCCAAAGTAAACACAATGAAAGGCACTGGGAATTCCATACCAACAAAAACATACATTTAAGTTGAAGAGACCAAGAAAGCTCGTTCCACCTGGTGCTTCCCCTCCCCTTCTCCCTTCAAATCTAACTAGGTTAAGTTTTAACTTCCTAAAGGCCATAAAACAAAGGCCTGAGGTAATAGCTCCTGACATCCTGGGTCTTCCCTATCCAGAAGCCCCATCACAAATTGTGTTAATTGCATCAGATTGTATTAGATTGTACATTCTTCACAAAAATAGCTTCGTTTATATCATAGTAATACCTGTAACTTGGCCTTACTGTAAATGTGTGTCTTCCTTTTCCTCTGGGCAAAGGATTGATATGTTATGAATCAATGCTCTCTGTAAAGAATTGTAA